ATTCCATAAACAACGTTCCAACAGATGAATGAACTAAAAAGTTGATTAGTGTCCTATCCCTCCTATCAGTCCACCCATCTGACATCAGCGAACAACTATTTCTCTTCCATTCTACCTCATGATCGCCCATAAGATTTTTTGTGTACTGTACTTCTTTTTTCAAGTACGTTACTCGAGCTTCATGATAAGAAGGAGGTATCAAACCAGGGCCAAATTGCCCCATAGCTTCTAGCATCACTTCAAAACTTCTCAAGCGAATAGTATTTAGAGGAATACCTGTTTGATATATCCAACGCATGATGAATTGCACTGTAGCATCTCTCTCCTCTTTATCATATTTTTCAGTAATAGTTGATTGCTTCAACCTCTTCAATCGATTTCTATCATCAACAACTTTTCCAGGATGTTGATAAACAATTTATCTATTGGCCCCTTTGGTCGTGGTGGTTTTAACACTGATGGACTACAAGAGTTACTACTTCTACTTCCACTTCTACTTCCTCTCCCTCTCCCACCCATACTACTCACATTATCACCTGTGTTTATTCTTGTTCGCTTGTTCATTGGGGTTAATGTTGATCCAGATCCACTACCACTACCACCAACTACTTCCATTTCATCTTCATCATCTTCTTCAATCAAAGTTAAATCTTCATCCGTTGGGAGGGCATTACTCTCTTCCCTTCTTGCTTTTGTTCTTGTTTGATACTCCTTCAATTCTTCTCTCACATTGGTTGGGCATTTCAAACATGCCTTTACATTTCTATTTCCTCCAACCAAATGGTTTGTTGCTCGACAAACTCCACCTTTGGTAATTTTTCCACAAAACATGCATTTGCACGTGTTTGTATCTTTTGGATCATCCAGTATGATGTATTGCCAATCGGGATGCTTGCGTTTGTTTCCACCTTCTTCCATCCTAATATAATTCAAATTTGGAAGATAAAAAAAAGTTGTAAAGGAAAGACTAAAGAGCCACTGTGAAGTGTGAAGAAAGCCAAAGATTTAGAAAACTTTTGTGTGAAATAAAAGAGAGGAAACGAAAA